GTGCAGGCTCGGGAGGCTGCCGCTTGTCCAAGGCCACACGCTGTCCCAGGTCCAGGCTTCCCAGGTGGCTGGGCTGGGGAGGCCGCCCTTTGACTGCAGGGACTGGTGGCCGGTGGGTGCTCCACAGAGGTGGGGCTGGAGCTGGACAGCCCCACCCGCTCCTGTCACCTGCAACGTCTCTGAACCCCAGGATGTTAGTGAGTCTGCATCCTGGGTGTGGCTGGGGGTGTGGCCTGCGAAGTGCTTAGCCCAGAGCCCAACTCCAGAAAGCTGAGGCGAGGTGCCCTGGGCCTGGAGCTGCGGGACTCCAGGGTGAGGGCAGGGAGCTCAGGGAGGCTAAGAGGCTGGCCAGGGTCAGCGGCTCTGATGGCTGGGGGCAACAGACTCTTCTCCCACCTGACTACACTGGGCTCTTAGCCCTCCGTGGTTTGGAAGTCTTTGAGACGTGGGAACAAGCTTCAGACCCTCCCTGGATACAAGCAGCCCTCGGGGGTCCCACGTGGAGCCCCTCCACCTCGGCCGCTCCCAAAGGAACCAAGCTCTGTCCTGCCCATGACGAGGGTCCAGGGCCCTTGGTGGTCGGCCAGCTCTGGCTTCTGTCGTTCACTTTCAAGGAAAGGGCCTGCGTTTTTCTCAAATGAGAGGCCTCCCCGCCCCTGAAGCCCTGCTAAGGCTGGTGCTGCTCTTGCAGGGGACGGCTACTACCTGGCTGTGGGCGGAGCCGTGGCCCAGCACAACTGGTCCCACATCAGCACGGTGCTGCAGGACCAGCGGTTCCGGTGCCAGCTGGTCGACAGCTCTGAAGACCTGGGCATGATCAGCATCCAGGGCCCAGCCAGGTGAGGAGGTGGGGAGCCCAGCACCCGGCACACCTGGGCGCCTCTGGACCCTGCGCCCTCCTGCTGGGGCCGATGGACAGAGCCACGGGCTGGTTCACAGAGGGCCACGCTGAGCAGCTGCCCACTGGGGGATCAGAGATGCAGCCAGTCAGTCCCAAGGCACCAGGGCAGACAAGCCCTTGACCTGAGGCTCCGGTGGGACTTCCCTGTGAGCCAGCTCCGGAGGTTCACGAGTCATGTAAGCACCCCTGGGTGGGTGGGGGTCCCCAGATCACTGGCAGCCCACTAACTGGCTGGGCCACGCTGGGTTCCACCTGTTACCTGGGCCGAGAGCCCACCTGCTCCACCTGACTGCTCGAGGAGGGCCGTGAAGGGCCCACGCTGCCGTGGACGGACCTTGGCGTTGCACTTCCTCCCCGGGGAGCCAGCCGGGATGACCGGGGCCGCCTCTTGGAGTGGCCACAGCAGGGTGTCAGGCACAGGACAACCCCGCAGACTGTGCGTGGAGAGGGGACCAGGGGCAGGGGACGAAGGGCCGCACAGCCAAGTGTCATCGGGTTTGTCAGGCCCCAGGCCCACGCCTCGGTCTGGATGAGAGCCCTCGAGGTGGTAGCACGTGTTCCTACTCTCACTGATGGAGAGAGCCCTGCCCAAGGGCACGTGCCCAGAGCCCCCCGGAACCTGCCCCCACCCCTCTAAGAAGGCCATACCTCACAACTTTCTGTCGTCGGCCACCAGGGCACGTCACAGCCCAGGCTGGCACTTCCTGCATCCGGCTGTGTCGGGCAGGACCAGCTGAGCAGGGTGACTGCCAGTCCGAGCAGGAGAGGAAGGAGGGAGGACGGAGGGTGTGAAGGAATCTTCCCGAAATCCGCAGGCGGGGAGAAGATGCACCTCCGGTCTGCCTTCCCGGGCTGTGAGAGTCCAGTCAGGGCCTGGCCCCGCTGCCTTGCACAGGTGCCGCCTCGCTCAGAGGCACAGGCAGGCTGCGTGCGCTCGCTGAGCGGAGGACAGACCCCGAACTGGTCAAGTCCTTGGCCTCCCGTCTGCTTCTCAGAACCAGCATCTGTTCAGGAGCCTTCGGGCAAAGCCCTGGAGAAAATGAGGGCCCGAGCCCTGGCGCCCTCTGCTGGCCACACAGTGCAGAGACCCTTGGCGGTGAGTGCCAGGTGCAGCAGGCGGTAGAAGGAGTGCTCTGGAGGCAGGGGAGACCAGGCCCTGGAGGCCGAGGGCCGCTCCTCTGAGGGAGAGCCCTAGAGGAGGGCGTTGAGCAGAGCAGGGCCATGGTCAGACTGGGGCTTTAGTGGGTCTCCATTGTGGGCCAGGGGTGGAGGCATCTCAGAGGCAGGAGCGGGCTGACGGGTCCGTGGTCTGGCAGCCCGGTGGCTCGTGTGGATGTGGCCACAGTGGGCTTAGAGGCAGCTGGACAGGCGTGTGCTGAGCCGACGGGGGAAGAGCAGGGACCGCAGACAGCATGGGATACCGAGGCTGGCTGCAGCTAGAGGGGCAGGGAGCTGGGACCCGGGAAGCAGCGCCTGGCTGCAGGCAGCTGTGCTGTCTCCCCGTGAGTGAACCCAGCCTCGACGTCTCCTGGTGAAGGCGGTGGAGGCCCTGGCCTGTGAGCGCCAGGCTCCGGCTTCATTGCCACAGTGACGTCGGGTGACCTTGGATGGAGTGGGGGAGGGTAGGCAGGCAGGGAGGGAGGGGCCAGACAGGCAGGTCAAGGTGAGCCAGCTCTCCAGCTGCGCCAGCTGCTCCAGTGCTGCCTGCACGGGAAGAGGCGCTGGCCTCCTGCAGCGTCCCGCCTTCGCTCGGGACACCTCCTCTCTGAGCAGCCGTCTCCCCTGAGGAAGCCAAACGCTCTGGGTGTCCTGGGAAAGTCCTTACCACAGTGCCTGGGCCGTGGAGGTGCCATGTGAACTGCGGCCCGGGAGAACTTTCTGGAAATGTCCCACAGCTGAGCGATCCATTACCGCAGCCACCGAGCTAGTGTGGCTCTCATGCCCTTGAAATGTGATCCGTTTTTTTTTTCTTTTTGGAGAGGTTTTCACTATAGGGCGCGTGCGCTCGCCAGACAGACAGAGAGAGACAGAGAGACAGAAAGCGAGAAATCACCCCCCGGGGGGATGGCCACGGCACAATCCCTTCTCCTCTATTCTCCTCTCGGGATCTTGGGCACGCACGCCCACGTGCCCGGCGTGAGGTTAAGTTACCGGGTCCGGGAGGCGAACCGTGGTCAACTACGTGGGAGTCCAGCGACATAGCCATTACGCTAACTGCTGGTCCTGTGACTCCGTTTTTTTAAAGGCAGGGTCTCTGCCTCGGTCCTCCTCCCTCAGTGTCCCCGCTGTGGCCGCAGCCTCACGCTCGCGATCTCCGCCTCAGCCTGAGTCAGTTCAGGCCCATGCCCCTGTGGTGGCCTTTAGGTGGGACCCAGAGTTGAAGCAGGCTCTCGCGTGGTCCTGCTCTCGCGGCGCCTCAGCTGTGACAGCCCCCTCGGCTGGGCCTGAGCTCCCGTTTAGAGCGAGCTGAATCGCTGGCTTCGGGTGGCTCTGGACACAGCGGGCAGTCAGAAGTGATGGTTCCTGTTACATTATTTTTTTTTTAGAATTATTTAACTTTTATTAATTATTATTTTTTAATTTGACCAGAGAGGCAGAGAGAGAGAAAGCAAACCACCAGGTCCAGGACTTGAACCGTGGTCGGCCAGCACCTTAACCACCACGCCACCTGCCGGCCCCAGCTGTTACAGTATTAACAGAAGCATGTGCACACACCTTCTCCCAACTCCTCTTGGTCCTGCTGGTCCCACTGAGCAGACAGGGAGCTGAGGCTGCATGGGGCAGGGGAGGTCAGGGAGCTGGGACTTACATCCCTGTCTCTGCGCTGCTTCACTTGGGGGAGGGACAGTCCCCTGCCCCCCCACCCCCCCCGGCCAGGGCTCAGAGGCCCCCAGGCCCCCTTCCGTGCTGCTGCCCTCGGGGCTGCAGAGAGCATGAGCTCGCTGAGGCTGTGCGGCTCTCATGGGTGCTGGGCATTACATAAGGGCCGGGGCAGCAGCGCCTCCGCTGGAACCTCGGGCTGGCGTGGGCGGTGGCTCCGGCACGGGGCGGGGGGGGCAGCGTTCTCAGCCGGCGAATCACCCAGTGTCCTCTCCACACCAGTCCCACGAGGTGGGGTCCTGTCGGCATGGTGGTCAGGGTTCAGTGGGGTGGGTACGATCTGGCAGGACACTGCAGGCCCCCCAGACGAGGGCCCTGTCCCTGACTCCAGGAGGAGGAGCTGGGCCTGGAGCCAAGAATGAGAATGTGGAGGGTGCCGACGGTGGGCCCGGACGGAGGCAGGTAGCCACGGGGCTGAGGACCACCCGCAGCGCCTGCCTCGCGAGGTCCCAGGTTGTCAGGCACGTGTGAGAGCCCGACTCTGTACTGGGTATGGGGTGGGTGAGGAGAGGCCCTGCCCTCCTGGACCTGATGCACCCCTACTGGCTCCAAGTGTGCACAGCTGCCATGCCAGACAGGACGGGCGCGCCACTGCTCCAGGGACAGCCTCACACTCGGGAGAGGAGGGGTGCTCGGCGTGGCCCTGCCCTGGGCCAGGCGACAGCCCAAGGAGGGTGCAGTGCTCTCGGGACCCGGTAGGCGCTAAGCTCTGTCTCCACCTCCTCTCGAAGTCTGCCACATTGGCCTCAGACCATTTCAGGCAGGGACAACGGTGCGGCCAAGGGCCGAGGTGCTCGGCTGGGGGCTGGCAGGGGCAGGGCAGGGCTGGAGAGTGCCTCCTGCTGGGGAAGGGGTGTCCCCAAGGGAAGGTCACTTTACTTTTCTGTGCAAATGGGAGACACCAGAGCCAGCTTCTCCCCTGGCCAGATCTGGGGCCCTGCTGGGTTTGAGGATGTGGGAATGTGGAGGGGCCTGGCCAGCAGGATCTGGGGACATTCAGTGGTCAGGTGTACCTAGCCTCGTCACCCCGCTGAGTGACGGGAGCCTGCAAGTCGTCTCTGAGGTGGCCTGTGGGTTCCATGCTCCCCACAGGGCTCCTCTCCTGGCCTGCCCATCTGGCCAGGTCCTACTCTGCCGGTAGCTGCTGCCATCTGCCCACGAGGGTGGGACTTCCCTCTCCTGGCAGGCCCCACCGGGTGCTGGGTGGGCATGGCGGTTCTGCTGACCCGCTCTCTGCCTCCTTGCAGCCGGGCCATTCTCCAGGAAGTGCTCGACACAGACCTGAGTGGTGAGGCCTTCCCCTTCTCCACCCACAAGCTGACGAGAGCTGCCGGGCACCTGGTAGGTACCCACTGGCCGCCATGGGTGTGCGTGTGGGTGTGGGTGTGGGTGGCAGCGGTGAGCAGCGAGAGCATGAACCCAGGCTGGACCTGGGAGCCCTGGGGCCTTGTGTCACTCACTTGCTAGCCAGGGCCCAACCACGCGGCAACCATGGGGACCAGGGGGCCTGCCCACATGCTGTGGAGGGGGCAACGGGACAGTCACTGGTGTCTGGCACACAGCGGGTCATGGTCCCAGGGAGGCAGGGCACACTCTCTGGAGTCAAGGTGGCTCACTCGCCACCCACCGCCCGGGGCCAGTCAAGCTGTGGGCAGCTGAGGGGGCAGCACGTCCTCCACTGGTGGTCACCTGCCCTGCCAGCTCTAGCACTGTGGATGTGGGCAGCAGGGCCTGCTCCGGGAGGGCACAGCCAGCCCCACAGTGCCCTGCGGCTGAAGCGGGTCTCTCCCGAGACTGTGGGCAGGGTCGGGCTCGAGGGCTCCCGGAGAGGCGGCTTCCTTACACACGCCGGAGTTGGGGTCTCAGTTCTGGCTCTGGGTCTGTGTGGCCCTCTGCAGGCCTGTTTCCCTGTTGAAAAATAGGCACTAGGGGCCAGCAGGTGGCGTGGAGGTTAAGGCGGTTAGACTCCCACATGGCTGACCGCAGTTTGAGTCCCAGACCTGGTGGTTTGAAAGTCACACCGTGTACATGTGTGCATACCCGAATTCTGAGGGGGAATGGAGAACAAGGGATTGCAGAGCGGCCGGGCCCCCTGGGGGCAATTTCTCACTCTCCTCTCTCTGTCTCTGTCTCTTTGGGGAGTGCACACATCCTGTGGCAAAAATCTAAAAGTAGAGTAAAAGACAGACAGGCTCCACGGTCTGCACTCTGCCTTCTGAGGCCGTGCAAGGAGTGACGTGAGAATCCCACCAGCCGTGCGCCGAGGCTCCTGCAGCCCACTGCCGGGTCCGTCCAGTGCCCACACGCACACAGTCCCCGCACCCGCGCAGAGCTGCTACTGGGCTCGGGACCAGGGTTCTGCACCGGGGCTGTGCTGAGCACACTGGGGTGTTCAGCACCAGCTGCTGCCTGCCAGATGCCCGAAG